TGTGTGTGTGTGTGTGTGTGTATATACATACATATATATATATATAAAGACTAATAATAGTATGTTATGCATGGATAGCAGCAACAGCTTTTCCAGGTTCTGCAGTCATCTGAACAAAATTATAGACATTCAGCACATTCCGTTAAAAAAAAAACAAAACAAAGAAAAGAATAATATCCAGACAACAGCAATGTTATGTTGCTGCTGTGGTACCTGGCACCATTTTTTCTATTAGCATCTTAATCATCATCTGGAAAGAGAACATTCTAGAGTAATATCTTTAAATGTAGCTCTGATAAAGCACGGTCCCTACTATGTATCATAAAGCAGGTACTAGATATTTTACATTCATGGAGGTATGATACAGTACTGTCTGACATCAATAATACTAGATTTAGTTTTGGTTTGAAGTTTACTTTGTCTGCAAATAAGATTGCTACCCCTGTTTTTTTCTGGGCTCCTGTCAAATGGAGAATTGTTTTCTATCTTTTCACTTTCAGTCTATGGGCTTCTTTTTGCACTAGGTGTGTTTCTTGTATACAACATATTATTGGATTTTGCTTCTTATTCCATTTTGCCAGTCTATTTCTCTTGATTGGTGAGTTGAGGCCATTGATATTGCTGGTTATAACTGATATGTACTGACTTATTATTGACATGTTATTGGCCTTTTGTTGACTCTTTTTACTTTTTCACCTTCTCCTTTCAATTTCTTGCCTTGCCTATTTGATTTGCTCTGTTGGGCCTCTTGGTGTTGTTGCCTTCATTGTCTTTTTTCTAGGATCTTGTTTAGAATTGCTTGTAGTGCTGGTTTGGTATTCATGTAGTTTCTCAAATGTTCTTTGTCTTGGAAGTGTCTTATTTCCCCCTCCATTTTGAAAGAGAGTTTTGCTGGATACATTAGTCTAGGTTGGAGGTTGTTCTCTTTTAGTACTTGAAATATCTCACTCCAGACTCTCCTTGCCCCAGGGGTTTGTGTTGAAAAGTCTGCTGTGATTCTGATGGGCTTTCCTTTGTATGTGATTTGTTTCTTTTCTCTTACTGCTTGTAGTATTTTGTTCTTCTGTTGGGTTTCTGGGATCTTGATTATTATTTGTCTAGGTGTAGATTTTTTTTATTGTAGCTAGTTGGGGTCCTATATGCCTCAGTTATCTGAATGTCCAATTCTTCCCCTCTGTTTGGGAAGTTTTCTGTCATTAATTCTGTGAACAGCTTTTTTAAGTCATTTGTATTTTCTCCTTCTACTTCATGGATTCCTATCAGTCTTATGTTATTCTTCTTTGCATCATCTAGTAGGAGTTGTTGGATCGATTTCTCATGATCTCTTACTGTTTTTAAGAGACTTCTCTTTTCCTGGTCACTGATTGCAATCTTATCTTCTATATCTGAGAGCCTATCTTCGCATTCTTTTATTTTGTTGCGTACACTTTCAATAGAGTGTTTAATCTCCTGGATATCTGTTTGAATCTGTTTTATGGATTCCATTTCTTTCCTATGTTGGGCATTTATTTTTTCCATTTCTTTCTTATGCTGGGCCTTCATGGCTTCTATCATGGTCCTGAGCTCATCTATTTTTTTTGTCAGCTTCGGCTCTAGAGTCTTGAACCACAACTTCCATTTTGCTCACTATCTCTATGGTTATCTGGGAAATTATTTCTGTTTTAAATTTTTCTAGAGCCTGATTGATCTGTTTTGTTACTTCCTGTGCTTTGAGTTCAGGGTGTCCTGGTGGTTCACTATGGGCCTTTTCATCCTCATTTGCCCTACTGTTTGCCATTGGTGAACTGGAAGTCTGTCCTTGTGTCTTGCTTAAGTGTTTTCTCATTTTAATTTTTGTTGTTGGACTGTCCTTGGTTTAATCTCTGGATTATCACCCAAATCTTCCTGATATAATTGCACCCTAGCTTCTGTGTCTCTAACGACCCACAGACATTCTCATCCTCATAAGATCAGAGAAAACAGCTCATCAAATCAACCACAATCCTTTGTCCCAACCAGCAACACAATATGATCAAGTACAACTTGTAAACTGACCACCTGTGGTAGTCACTAGTCTATCACCCTTAAATCATTTGAATTAAATTGAAATCAAGAAGCAGTCCAGAACATGTCTGCAGTGAACAAACTTTTCAATATAGTATATTTACCATTTAATGGCTCAGACAGAGCGAGGATGCAAGACCTCTGATCTCAGTTAGCTGATGGCTGAACCCCATGACGCTGACTGACCTCGGGCTGCAAGGCCCAGATTGAGTTCCCCATCCTTCTGAATGGTTGAACTCCACAACGTTCTATTACAGGTTTCCCACGTCCTTTCTTTAAAGATGTTCAAAGTTGGAAATTCAGAAAAATACCCTTGATGACCACCTCTGTCTTTGCAGAGTGGGTCCAAAGACTTGCACAGTCAGGAGTTCTGAGAGTGTGGGGGGTGGGGCTTATGGGGGTTCAGGGGCTCCCGCGGGGCTACCCTTCCGGCGCTTGAGCGATGGCTTCTGGGTCAGGAGCAGGCGTGGTTCTCCTTCCTGCGGTGGATCAGGGCCAGCCTACCTTCCTGGCGCTTGAGCGATGGCGGCTGGGTCGGGAGCAGGCATGGTTCTCTTTCACCTTTTAATTTCCAATTGCATTGATGTGGATCTTCTCTTTCCTTCTTTTGGTAAGTTTGGCTAAGCGATTATCTATTTTGTTTATTCTTTCAAAGAACTGCCTCTTTGATTCATTTATTTTTGTATTTTTTTAATTTTAATTTTGTTAATTGACTCTCTGATCTAGATTTCCTTCCCTGTGCTAGGTTTGGATTTGGAGTGTTTATTTTTCTAGTACCTTGAGATGCTTCACTATGTTACTTACTTGGGATTGCTCTGTTCTGCTTTTGCAAACATTCACAGTCAATAAACTTCCCACTTAGGATTTTTTTCATTGTGTCCTCTAGGTTCTGATGTATTGTACTGGCATTACCATTTGGTTTTAGGAATTGTTTAATTTCCTCCTTGGTTTCTTCTGTGACCCAATGAGTATGTTCAGGAGTGTATTATTTAATGTCAAGGTATTTGTAAAAATTCTGTGGTTTCTTTTTTTCTTTTCTTTTCTTCTTTTTTTGCAGTTGATTTCTAGTTTCACTGTGTTGTGATTTCATAGTATATGTGGAATGATTTTTATTATTTTGCATTTATTTAAACAGACTTCATGGACTAGTATGTCTATCTTGGAGGAAGTTCTGCATGCTTCTCAGAAGAATGTACATTTTGTTGTAGTAGGATACAACAGCATAGATATCTATTAAATCTGTTCAAATGTGTGGTTCAGCTATGATATTCCTTCATTAATTTTTTGCTTACTTGATCTATTTGTAAAAATGGAACCTTCTGTGATTGTGTTGGTGTTTATTTAATCTTTTATTTCCAGCAGTGTTTGTTTTATGTAATTAGGTGTGCTGATATTCAGTGCATATATATTTATAATGGCTATCTCTTCCTCTTGTTACATTAACAAATTTGTAGTGAGCTTCTTTGCCTCATCTCATAATATTTAGCTTGAAGTTTGTAGACATGCCCAATTGCATGTTTACATCTGCTATCAGCCACCTTCCCTTCAGGGTCATGATGTGAATTTTATTTTAATGATATTGTGTACATGAATGAGGCCCCCAACTTCATGAGCAGATGGACAGTAATGAGTCTTAAGCTGGGTCCAGGCATCTGAGGCTTCCTATGATCATAAAGCTTCTACTGAATTTCTTCATGGAGCTTCTTCCTTTGCCTTTTTAAAAATCTGCTGACAAGTGCCCACTTCTCTTATCTCTTATCTCACACACTTTGACCAAATGCGGCACTTATGTATAGAAAAAAAGTATTCCTTACCTTTGAGAAAAAGGACATGTGGGATTCCCCATCAATTTCATAAGTCAAGACATAAATAGAAACTTCTAGAAATTTGAGCCTAGCAGTCTGGGCATGCAAACTTATCATATACTGAATAAGGTGAAGGGATATATTCCTAATTTAATCTAAATTTCCTTTCAGACACTTACTGTATTGGTACTTGTATCAACAATGTGCTTTGCAGCTTGAGGTAAAATAATATTTACAATACAATATGATTTCACAGGCACACTCATCTGCATTATTATTGCATTTAATCATCACAGCAGTGTTATGGGAAACATTTCATTACCTGCTTTATAGGAAGGAAACCAAGGCTCAGGAAGACTGGATGGTCAGTCCAAGGTCACAAGGTCAGACTCAGTGGTGGATCTTCCAGACAATTTCCACCACTGTTTCAAAATTAAAACTCTAACCCTGAGTCATAGGCTGAAATTAGGTATAATAGCAATGATCCTATTCATAATGAAGCCATGTTCCACCAAAAGAAGGGAAGGAAAATGGAGAAAAGAGAAGCTGATATCTAGCTTCTACTCTGACTAGGCTATTTTATTTGCACTCTCACTTAAACATCATCTCTTTCCCCACATGACTAAAAAGGAATAGATATTAAGGAAAATTAAATTACTCCCCCAGAATCACAAAAATCACGTGATGAACTGGTTTGATCACCCCACTTTCTGACCCCCAGAACCACAATCTTCTCATGGCCCTTCACATTTCATGATAACTCATAGTGCATTGCTGCACACAGAAGATTCTTAACAGCAAAAAGCAAAGAAAAGCTCTGTTTTGGTGAAGCTTATATTGTCAAAGACATATGCACCCTTTCCTTCCAAGACCCCTACCCCTGCTTCCTGTGGGACATTGCTCACGTATCCTTCTGTTCCCTGCAGGGTGTGTGATGGTGATGTCTGTGATCACACAGCTAACTCAAGTTCACAACTCTACAGTGGAGGCCTCTATGGAGAGACTGTGCAGCTACTTGCCTGGTAAGTATAGAGGGGATCTCACTACTGCATCTGCTTGTCTTCTCACTCATGAGTCAGCATGAGTGCATGAGTGGGACAGATTGGATTTTTTTGTTTCTGTGGGTTGATATTTTAATGGGACTCACAGAAATAAAAATAAAAATAGTAGCACTCCAGGGAGTTTCTCCCAGACATTTATTTTTCATCATGGCAGAATGAAATTGCTGTGGACAATAGGGAATAAAATGTTGAAAGGCCACTTGTCATTTTATGGGTCACATTAATAATGATTTACCTAGCCGGTGGTCAGATGCCTTAAGTACTAACAAGTCAGAATAATGAGTAATATCAATAATTTTATGTTTACTTGTATACATATTCCTACGAACACAGAAAAGACAACTATTCTTAGAAAGCCAAATTGGAAAATAATCTGGAACATTCCATTGGTGTTAACTGGATCTCCACAAAGTCTTCAAAAGAATGAAAGGATCAGTGGCTCAAAAAAGTTGTACATTTATTTTCAGGCTTAAAGAAAAGGAAAAATATATTTCCCTAATAAAATACTGTTGCATGAACAGTATTTTATGAATAAACATTTTAAGAATCAAATTTTCTTTCACTTAGTGATAGCTTATCAAAGATCTTACATTATGTTTTCTGTTAAATAAGCTGGCTGGACTAATGGTTATAAAATCTTTGATTTATATAACACACTGTGCCAATAGCACCAAAGATTCTTCAGAGAATTTATTATACGCAATATGCATTCACATGATGAAATGTTCAGAATTCAAAACTAAAGACTAGGAAAGGATAATATACAAGTGTTTGTGCTTACAACATTGCAAACTGATAGTTGTAAAGATTCCTGGAAACATAGCCCAAGTCAAGAAATAACAGATAGATGCCCTCCCCAGAAGTCTCATTTGCATAGCCCCTGCCACCACAGACCTCTCTGACCCCCACACCAATAGAATAATGTCCTGAATTTTATGGTAACTTTTTCCATGCACTTTATATTTTTATCACCCTAGTGAGCATCCCTAGATACCAGTCTTGCCCACTATTTGCAGTTTTGATGTGCTTTCTAAATCTATTTAATCTACAACTTTTCTTATGTCTTCTTTTCCTTATAGTAGAAAATTACCTTCAGAGTTTCTCACAGTCTAGACTGTACTGATTATATCCCTGTGGTATAAATAAATGTTCTCTTTGCCCTATATTTCCTGAACATTGACAGCTGGATTCAGAGCCTTGATCGGACTTGCTTGATTACTTTGGCAAGATTATAATCTCTCTCTCCTCCCCCCACCTGCATGTGCCTATGTGTGTGTGATGTTTTACCTGCTGTTGGTGCTCAATATAACATTTATTAATTTATTAGAAGGTACAGAATTAGAATATTCCAATTATCTAATTTTCATTATTAATTGAAATATGTTAGACAAAGTAATCAACTAGTTTTCTAAAACATGCTAGTGAACTCATAAATTTAAGCATACCTGGAGGGCTGCAGTCAGTTGCAATTATTATCCTGTTGATGCTCAAATGACCCCATCTTTGGCCAGTGGAGACTCCTCAGTTTGACTCCTGAGTGGCTGTGACCTTGGACAGGTCCCCCAGGAACTGGAGTAGCAAGGTGGCCGAGCCTTGTCTTATATTTTTCTAGTGTCAGGCTTGACATCAGTTATTTCTCAACAAAGCCCTGCTTCCTTTTAGTGAGAAATACTATTTCAAGGTCACCATCTGTGTGCTTAAGGAGGCTCATTGCTACTGACTAGTCATTCATTCTAGGTCTTTTCTATGAACAGCAAAGTATATGTATATACATTTACATATAGAATTTCTAGGATAAAATACCTGCATTAGTCAGCTTTCCTGTTGCTGGGACATAGTACCCAGCACCCACAAGTTACAGGAAGAGAGATTTAATTTTACTCATGGTGTAAGGGATTTAGACCACAGCTGGCTGGCTACAAGGAAGAAACAGAAAGGTGGAAGGGTCTAATGGAAGAAAGCTCTTCATCTCATAGCAGCCGGAAAGCAGAGAGAGAAATGAGGAATTGAGGAGAGAAATGAATTCTCCAAAGGCATGCCCCTTTGACCCTCCAACAAAGACCCACCTCCTAACAGCACATTTAACCATGAACTCATCAATGGGCCAACTCACTGATGAGTATATTGCCTCCATGATCCACTCATCTTCCAAAATCCAACCTCTGAACATATGAGACTTTGGGGGAACATTCTAATTCCAAACTACAACAATATCCAATGAATTCATACTAACACTTCAAATTCAAACACAAAACTGCAGAATTTTTACAAGTCTCTTCATTATCACGTCTGTGTGTCTCCTTTCCAAAGTCCTAATTGCCAAGGATAGAGTGAATGATCAAATTAAAATAGCCAGTGCTTATTCATTTGCCTATGTTTCACTATACAAATATCAGTCTCAGACTATCGGTCCTAATACTACCCTCATTAACATACTTCATAACTGCTGAGAGCAGCTAAAATGACTTTTTGCATATGCTTTCTCCCATTTCTCCACCATTTTTAATTTTTGAGCCCTGTTATCTGAGCAAATAACAATTACACAGAATGTCCATTCCCTTCCCTCCTTATTTAGTCTTTGTTCCTCCAGCAAGTAGATGATTGACGTTTATCCCTGCCCTGGAGTGGATGTCCCTATGGCTGAATCATTGCCTGACATTTATGCCTTAGAAAGCGCTCATGGGAACATTCAGGATAGTCCCTGAATCCTGAAAGTTGATTACAGCCATCTGTGCCCTTATACTTGAAAGTCAGCATTTTTCTAGATACAAAAACTCTTGGCATACAATTTATTTTCCCAAGCAACTTAAATATATTATTTAAAGCCTAATATTCTTATCCTTATAAGTCACTTACTGCTTTTGCCTAGAAGTTCCGTGGATATTCTTCTTCTTTTGTCTCCCATAAAGGTTAGTCACCTACCTAGAAAATGTCTTGGTGCTGTTTAGTTTGTTGATATTTTCAAGTATGTGGTGTGCTCTCTAAATATATGGTTAAATATATATATATAAATATGGTGAGATATTTATATATCCTCATTTCAGGAAAGTTTTATTTTTGGATTTCTGTTATCCATATATTGACTCTCTTCATTGCTTGTCTTTGACAGAGTACTTTGTTTATCTCTTGGATACCTTTTATCTCATCATTTAGTACTTTTTATTTTGTGGTACTGGAGATTGAACCAGGGGCCTTCACACTTACCTACATCTTCAACCATTTTTATTTTGAGATAGGATCTTGTTAAGTTGCCCAAGCTGGACAAGAACTTAGGAACCCAGTGTACCACCATGCCCAGCCTTTCATTTATTTTTTAATCCTCAAATTGTTCCTCCTCTCACCAAATAAACAAAATTAGGAGTTGAAAAAACATGAATTGTTCCTCCTCTCACCTTTTATTTCTCTTACATCATGTATTATTTTTCATTTGTTCTTGTTTTCATTGCAGTTTAAATTTCATTTCTTTGATAATTTTCATTCTTCCCTGAGTTCTTTCATTCCATACCTGAGTTTTTGTAATTCTGATTTCTGCTATTCCTTAATGTCTTATATCATGTTATTAATGCCTCTTAGCTCGTTTTAAAATAATGTTATGTTTTAGTCTTTTTTTTGGCATGACTTCCTGGCATGCTTTGACTATCTGTAGGGATTCTATTCTGTTCCTTATTCTTTTTTTCTTATAATAACTCTGTATGGGAATTGACCTAGATACATTTCTGTTGTTCATTTTTATGTGAAATTAGTTTTCAAAACTCTTAGAGAGAAGTGGTTCAGGGTATCTTTTCTAAATGCACAGAGCTCTTTCTTTTGTTGTTTCTGTGTCATGTGTAAAAATATATGTTAGCTTGCTTTCTGAGATTCTCTGACTCTTCTCACTGTCCACTTTTATCTGGAAGTCCTTTATGCTTTATTTCTGTCCAGCTCAATTTTGATCCAAATCCAGCAGTTTCTTGGGTCAGAAGCTTGGATGGGTCATTTTCTAGAGCTTGCAGATGACTCTGACCCCTTAGTGTTCCTGACCTTCAGCCTCTGTAACCCACCTGCCATTCTTGTGGGCAAAACCCCTACCAACTTCAGCTGCTGTGCTCTAGCTAATACCTGTCAGCTCTGTGGTGATTCACTTTTCTTGGGTTTGCCTGAAGTCTCTTTTTTTGGGTTTGCTTTCCCTTCCTTTCTCTGGTACAGATGTTGATAAGCTGCAGGTATTGTGGTAGTGAGTAGTAGCACACCCATATCTGCACCTAAGAAGATGCTGGGGTTCTTGGAAATACTTCATTCTGCTGTTATTTTGCCTGTGGGTCTTTAGTTATGCTTTGGATCTTAAATGTCCCCCAAAAGCTCATGTGTCGAAGGCGTGGTCCCTAGCTGGTGGTGCTATCAGGGGGTGGTAGAAACTTTGGGTGGGGCCTCATTGGAGGAAGTAGATCTTTGAAGTTGTGGCCAAGAAAAAGTATTTTGGGACCCTGGAATCTTCTCTCTCTGTCTCTGCTTCCCAGCTGCTGTGAGTAAGCAGCTTTGCTGGGCCATGAGCTGCCACCAAAACCAATGGAGCTGGCTAGTTGTGAGGTGAAACCGAGAACTTGCCTCCTTTAAGTTGTTTCTCTTAGGTATTTTGTGACAGTGATACAAAGCTGACTAATGGCTATCCAAGTACTCTGTGTGTGAGGGTGTGTGTGTGTGTGTGTGTGTGTGTGTGTGTGTTCAAAGAGATTCCAGAATTCTGTTTCCATACATCTTCTCTCCATAATTCTCCTTAGGAAAGGCTTTTTTTCCCATTCATTGTCTATGATACATTCTGCTCTGCAACATCCTTTCTTCACCCAGTGTTAGGTTGGTAAGATCTATGCACATGAAGGTACTTACTCTATAGTCTCTACCATATAAATGTCCTGTCTCTAGCTGCTTTATTCCCTATTTCTAGACATTCAATATATTGTAAATATTAGTGCTGTACTCTAACT